TTTCGGGGGGGCCAGGGGTCCAAAATTATGAGACACCCTGTAGACATGAATTACGGAGGGAATTTTCCGGAGGGGGGCCCCCTTGCCCCCCCCCCCTGGATACGCCTTTACCAACGAGGAACACTTCCTTGTGCTTCCAAAAACTCAAGGCCAGATTCATCAGATCTTCGCAGCGTGTCATGGCGGTCTCTCCATCGCCCCCAGCCATATCTTTCAGACTAGGAGCTCATCTTTTAGCGTATACCTACGCTACAGCCCCCAGTGATGCAAAGGGGAGTATTGGGGAGGCGAAGCTTGAAAAAAGTACAATCGGAAATAACATGCGTATGTTTTCGCGTCGTCTGCCGGAGGCTTACGCACTTTCTCCATGTGAGTGGCCTTTGTAACAATTTTCTCGAGCTGATATTTCAGAAACAGAGCGTTTGATCATCGAAATGGTCATGGCCGAATATGTCAGGCTTGGGATGAGGCATCGTTCATGCTTCTCAATTCCCCCTTATCTTGATCGTTTAATGAGCTACAGGCCAAATAGTGGGCTCGCTTCCATAGAACGTCGGAACGAGGACACGGAGGCCGGAAACACTGAAGGCAAGAAACCCCTAGTTTACGTTGATCTGTCGTAATCCAGCGTTCAGGAAACGCTATGTCAATCGATACACCTATGAATTCCCTCGTTCGGTTGTAAGCACACGATCTTATTGGACGGAGAATTTTCTCTTTCTCAAAGATGGGTCCATTCAATCAGGAAAGCTTCAGTCTCTGCTTTCTAAAACGAATAAAGTTGTCCTCTACTCCCCCTCGACCATGTGCCAATGTTGAAGACAGCCATAAAATAGCTCCCGAAGGAAGGCTACGCGATATAGTAATCGGAAGTAGACTGGATTCGACGGAAACAGTCGGCCGATGCTTCCCGCTGCGAAAGTTTTCTCGCTACTTTTCATGGTCAGGAGGAGCCGACTCGGGATCGAAAAATCATCCGCTTTGTAGCAGAAATCACGGCTCGCTCCCGTGCTCCAGCGAAGGAACGTCATGTACATGATGAAAACCGGGGAACTTCCGGTGCGGCGTCCCAAGTCGAGCGAGACTGCGGCCCACGGTCCTTTCCCGCATCATCCCATTCCACGAGTCCTCCCGGCCGAGTCCCACCTCGTACATCGAATTTCCAACCTAGCCCATCCCTTGATCATCGCCCGGATAGGTGGGTCTCGGAGCCACGTGTTCCTGAATCTTGATGGCATTCGATGCCTCAGCATTGGTGGGCGCTATCTAAAAGAGCGAAGGGTAGAAGTACCGGCTGACGGGTGACAGAGCGCACCCCTCAGTCAGACTGCTGGTGGGGTAAGCTCGCGACAAGAAGCAAGAATGGAAGTCCCGTCAAGGCTCTCATGATTGGCGGGTACTTCTACCCCGTGAAGTTAAATCATTATCCAAGCGAGCTCCCGGCTAGAATAAGTCCAGGCTTCGCGAACCCCTGTGGGTATCGACTTCATGCACTCTCAAAGCCCACGGATACTGTGTCAGAGCTCTGGGATTGGTCCCCGCACAGGTGTCTTCGGCTCATGTCGACCTCGCCAAACCGCCACGTGCGGAACCTCACAAAACTCTGAGATAGTCTGTCATGACTGATGACTTCTCGAATGCTCGTCGCGCAAGGGTTCCACTAATATGCTGCTAGTCTTACGGAATTTGACGTCTCAGCTCCGGATTAAATATTCGCTGACGCCGCCACGAGAGCATCCTTGAGAACGGAGTCAAATCACGTCAATCGGTCACGCGAGGGGCTGCAATCGGAGATGGCATCGCCTGGTTTAGGCGGCAACGAGCGCCCCGAAACTTTTGGAGTCCTGCAAGCTCATTCACCCGAGCGGTGCCTCAAGGGATCCATTCGGGACCTCTCTCCTTCCCTGGAAGAGCTCTTTCGGAGCCGCTCCTCCGCAACTCCTCTGAGGAAAACGAGGTCTCAATCAGCTTCTTTCCGAGGAGTTTTCGCCTCGGCCGCTCATTCCCCAAGAAAAAGAATCGAAGTGCTCTAGATCAGATCTCCACCAAAATTTCGATTCCGTCTCGTGTTTCGAGGATGTGATCGGGGAATGCGAGGTATCTGATGCGGGCGAACCATTAATGTTCCGTTGGAGCGGTTGTCGATCTATGAAAGATTCAGGTCCTAATCACAAGCAGGCATTCTACTCAAAATCGAGACCAATAGTCCCGCTCGAGAGACCATGTTCAGTGTTTTCGATAGCCCCGGCAGAGCCTCTCCCAGCAGCTGCACTATAGGGTTTGGTTGGCCCGCCGAGGGACAATCTGAGCTCCGCTCGGATTTCCAGGATCCCGGGTCTCGAAGTATCTTTGAATTCCAACTCCGATATCGGATTCCCCCGTAGTCTCGCGGGTTCAGTCAGGGAAACGGGGGATGGGGATTTGAGGAGGAGAGGATATTTGGCTCAATGCCCTCCCTATAGACTTCACCTATGTACGGGATTTTTCGACGGCTTTCGGTTGGCGTATTGGCAGAGCGAACCCGCTCATCCGTCAAGCCATACAAGTCAATCGGCGAAAAGAGACCCGGTTCCTCGCCGCCTGATGAAGATCCTCATCGTGTAAGGAATGCCTCGACCTGAGCACGGAGCAGAATAGGGAAGGGGTACGAATTTACCATCGTCAGTCGTCGGGCTCCCATTCGTGCAGGTCTGCTCGTCGGCGGTCTTTAATTCGGTTCGTAGCGCCCCCTACAAACATCTGGTACTTGCTAAAAAAGCCCCGAGCAGATTGTGAGAGATCGCTCTCTGGATTTGCTCGTTCCAAGTACTAGAACTCCAAAGTGACAGCTGAAAGATGCGTACCTAAATTGAGATTCAGTGCCGTGCGATATCCTATACGATGGTAGATCAGAGCGTCGAGGAACGGGTCTTCAAAACCCGCGCAGGTGAGCGGTGCTGTCAGAGTGGAAACTTCAAAATTATTCTGGATCTCTAATCTCGATAATCCGCTGTTTCTGAACCGACTCATTACTAACTTCACTCGGAAGCTCGCGACACCGCTTCGCGCTGGAGTGAGTGAGTCACCCCTCGTGAACAGCTGATGCCCAGATGTTCTCTTGAGTGTAGTCGGCTCTCGCCCCAACTATCCGAGACGGTATCGCATGACGAGTAATCGCTTTCTTACGGGAAACATGGGCACCGAATCTATGTCCCGCAATGGTCCTCGGGCGAAGCGAGTCGCCATACCTCGGACTGGACTCCCGGATCTCTAATCAAGTCAAAATATCATCAAATCTGCTCGCGCCTCAATTTCTCCATGACGTTTCTTTCTCCGGGCGCCTTCCTTCACCGAGGTTTGGAGAATCGAACACCAGAGTTGCATACATGAGAGTCGAGGAGTGTTCAGAGAAACCATTTTCTCGGCTCGAGCAGATTGCAATGATTCAGATGGCGCGATTTCGGCACCTGTGAAAATCAACGACTTGCTCGTGGAGCATTCGACGTAAAGGACTCGATCAAAGCTAGCCAAAGCCTCATATGAGCCTGTTGAGCCGTCAGGAGGCGTCTCTGTCAAGTTCCTGAATGCCGTTCCGTGCCCAGTCTTGGCAGACGGAGCGACTGCGGTTTCTGGAATGCGGCCTGTTGACACTGTTCATGCCGCGATCTGAGAAGTGGCCTCATGGAACTGAGGTCCGGAAACCGCTCAACTCGCTGCTTCAGAGGTTGCTTTTGGGGGAGCTCATGTGTAAACGAATGCCCGAACGGCTCGAATCCCCGTATCGAAAATGATCGCATACACCTGAGCATATTATCTGATGGATAATATAATGGAATAGATGCGTGAAATTTGATGGAGCGAAGCCTTCGTTTCTGACTTTCGCACAGTTTCTCGAATGGGGATCCTCCATGCAGCGGTGGAGCAAGGCGAACAGGAGCTCGGGAATGCCGTCCCTAATCGAAGTCCTCCCTCAACTTCCCTCCGAGGCTTCGGCATTTCAAATCCCGATCTTGGGAAAGGGCGCCCCTAGCTCCCAGCAATGAGCTTATTCGTGGTACTTTCCTCCGTTCCCACGAACGAAAACGTCTGAAAAGCCCCCCCCCCTCCTCAGACTGGTAGCTCGTGTGGCACTCGGTGCGGTCCTCCTAGCTCCGCCTTCGCCACCGAGAACGAAATCCACGGCGCTACCGACCATGGCGATGTGATTACCACCGATCTTTCATTCGCCTACAGTCTTCCTGAGTCGGAGGGAATCATCGATGCACTCAATTGCCACCATAGATTAGGACTTGCGGGAGAGATCCGAACACAGACTCTCATTCTCCACCCCCAGGGTTCATCAAACATCGATATGTCATCTGTATGCTCGTCTTCACCGGTTTGGCTCTCGTGTATGCCATGCGAGTCAATCTTGGGGTCGCCATCATCTCCATGGCCCGTTCGAGCGCTGATGCCAACAAAACCAGTCTCAACGGAGTTTGCTCGAGCGGAATCTCACCTAAGAACGGCACTCCGGTGAGTTCTGCGTCCCAATCGGACTGAAATCCCAAGGCCGGAGCTGGGTTTCCGAATTGCTTCTCATCAGAACAGTCGTGGAACGTTTGTGTCGGAAATAATCAAACTCGTCTCGATCTCTTGCAGGTTGTGCAGCCCGAGTTCGACTGGGACTCCAGTCAGCGAGATTTTCTCTTGGGCGCATTCTTCTACGGCTATATCTCAACCCAGATACCTGGGGGCATAATGGCGGCGAAGTTGTCGATAAAATGGGTTTTCGGATACGGCGTTTTCTTGACCTCCTTGCTCACCATAGCGACTCACTTCGTCGCTCGTTGGAGTCTCACCGGTTTCGTTGTACTCCGAATTCTCGAGGGCATCACTGAGGTGTGTATGCGTGCGCTTTCGATCGTGAGCTTGATCGTTTTGACATTGCTTGCCCGCTGAATCTCGAGGAAATCATCCCAGAATGTCAGAGGTACTTTCAGGAATAATGCTCGTATCTGTACTTCATTCCTCCGTAGGGAGTCACATTCCCATCGCTATACTGCCTTGTGGCTCGATGGGCTCCAGAAAGTGAGCGTACGACCATGACAACCTTGTGCGTCATTGGAACTAACATAGGGACTGTGATCACAATGCCGATTACCGCAGCTCTGGCGAGCTCCTCATTGGGATGGCCGTCGAGCTTCTATCTACCAGGTAAGACGTTGAGACAATCTCCATCGAGATCTCGATCGACTTTAGATCTTACCGATTATGATCACGGGTTTTCCTGACTGTTCGGATTATTCCAAAAGGTGCTGCGGGGGTCTTGTGGTCCCTTGTGTGGTATATCTGCGCCACGTCTCAGCCGGAAAATCACCGTTGGATCTCGGACGAAGAAAGAGAATACATTATAAAGAATCGTGGAACAAGCCACAATCGGAGCCGGAAGGTGAGACTCGGCTCCCTGGGGCTGCTCCGATCCGACTCCTGTCGAGCGCAAATAAATGCCGGCAGGAGAGAACAATGGGCTTCATGCGAGAATTCCTCGTTTTCCAGATTCCTTGGCTCTCGATCTTGACTTCCCGGCCCGTCTGGATGTTCGCCATCGCGCGAATGATCGGCAGCATAACTTTCTATATGTTTCTCACTGAAATGCCGTCCTTTGTGGACGAAATCTTCGGCGTACCAGCGATCGACAACGGAGTCCTAAACGGCTTCTTCTATGTTTTATACGCTACCTCGAGTTTTGGGAGCGGAATACTCTCGGATTATCTGATTCGTAGAAACTTCATGTCGAGATCGAACGTCCGGAAATTGTTCGAATGCTCTTCGTTCGTCTCTTCGGGTGCAATGCTGCTGATCGTGACTCAACTCGGGTGAGACTTCGCGTAGATTTTGAGAGGTGGCCACGCTCGCACGAAGCAAGATCGTTTCAAGCGAAATATTCCTGATTTCAGGTGCTCATATACGGCGGTTGCTGTCGTCCTCTGCTTCGCCTGTTCTTTCGTCGCTTTGAACGGGGGAGGCGACGCCGGTCTTGCACTCGACTTGGCTCCCGAGCTCGCCGGATCCGTGATGGGTTTCGGGAACATGGTCGGCAACGTTGGTGCGATCATAGCGACGCAACTGGTGTCGATCAGTCGCAATCCGGAGGTAAGATTCGAGGAATGCCACTGACGAGGCTTGCTCGGAACGAAGACGCCGGACAGCCAGGTGTTGCTCGTATCTCCTGATCGAGACGTAGCGGACACCGAATCGAATTACGCCTCGACGGCTTGTCGCATCTTTTCAAGTGTTGCTGGTACCCACTCTCGTGGCAGATCGGAGTTGCTCTCACCATAATGGGAAACTATTTTCAGAACGCACACGCTGGATGGAATCTCGCGTTCATCATCACCGCTCTTGCTAGCTTCTTCGGCGCGATTCTCTTTGCTTTCCTGGGGACGGCCGAAGAACAACCATGGGCGAAAGAAGAGAGCGACGAGGTTCACTTCGTTGACGAAGCTGCCGAAGAGGAAATTTCTAATATGTCTATCCCGAAACGCTACTCGATCCAGTATGCCACCATTCAATAGGCTATAACTTCCAATCGAACTCCTCGGCTGACTCACTCGGCTGGCCGGCTGGATCGACGGGCGTTCTCAGCCGATACGCCCCTGGCGGCTAAAGGGTGATAATGTAGCGCTCCGTATAGTATTAGGGTACGACGACGGCGAATTGTTCCTTCTAGTCTTCGTTTGATTGACAAAATGGTCGAGGTCATCCGCGACTTCGCCGTCTGGATTACCTTTCTTGTAAATGTCGCGGCTCAGATGCACTCAATCAAGATCGGACAGAATAAGCAAGATCTGACTATCAATGCGAAGGCGAGCCCGAGGAAACTATGATATCATTCCCACATATTCAAGCTCCGGAGCACGCTCCATCGCAGGACGAATGATGGAGCGCTCGGGATTCGGGCATGGCTGACATCCGATCAGCGCCGGGGAGAAGTTACCGAATCTCGACAGGTGGATGATCATGATCGTAGGGCAATCAATGCTCGATTACTCGTCCTGAAGTGTCGATATTTCCTGCGACGGACAATCCCCGGACAGACGCGAGCGATCAGGATGTTCTCCCCGACGAGCATGCTAGAAATGTGAGACTGTACGGCTTCAGGGTTTGACCGGTTTTGAGAATAAGGGGGCTTGTCAATATTGAGGAGGTGTCGTGGATCCGTGGATTCGACTCATCCATTCAAGAGGGGCGATGGTATTCTTCGGATAAACGAGAAAGGTGCATATTCCTCACCGATTGAGGTCGTGAGTCGTTCTATTTGGTTGTGTAATATGTCCCGTTAAAGATCTGAATAAAGACAAATCTTATTTAAGGACTTGGAGTCCATTAGCAATCGACTGCTATGATTGGGTAGATTAGAGCAGAGATAGCCCTCGGACATCCACCAGCGACTTCGCGTAGACACCAATAATTAGATCCTCCCTCAAGGGATCTGTCGGGATCGCTCTCTCGTCGGGGAGGAAAAGTTTTCCGTCTTGAACGCTACCGCTTCGACTCGAGGGAAGCAAGTGAGCCTCCCGCCCCGGTGGACGGGTACCGAGATCATGTGTGTGGAATTCAAGAAGGGGAAATCGATACAATACACCGCCGATTTATTCAAACGCCCTCCGCTGAACAATCTCAGGCCTTGACAGCGTATTTCCTCCTGGGGTAGGTGGCTTCCCTCCTCCTCTGCTTTCTGGATTTAATCGATTGCTCGTAAGGAGTGAGAGCACGACGTTGGGCGCGGGTCCTCTTCAGACGGAGATCGAGAGGGACACGCTTCTTGTTGCGGTAGAATTTCACCAAATTCTCGCGCTGGACCTGTAGGGGGGGAGAGTACGCCGCATCAGAACGGAATCCTCTAGAAGTCGCTCCGCCTGAGATTCCTCCGCCGAAACGGGAACAACTTCAAATATAGTTGAATAGCATTCGTGATGTCAATCCAATCTCACCTCAGTCATGATGGTCAACAGACGAGAGATGTTCTTGCGAGTCATGCGGATTTTCGCAACCTTTGACGCATTGGCACCGGTGACCTGAAGCGTGGATGACCCTAGTTTATCGCCCGCGCTACTCATCGCATTCGAAGTGCATAATCGAGATGTGGATGCGGGGTCTCCCGTCGATCGGAAACTCACCTTAGCATTGCGAAGATTGGACAATTCCGATTTGAGTTCGTCGAGCTTCTTCTCGAGGTCCTCCTTTTTCATGCCACGCAGCTCGGCTGCTCGGAGCTTCGTCTGAGAACAAGAATCGTAGATTTCATTGAAGCTCTACACTTCTCCTCGCGGAACGTTTGCCGAGGACAATTCAATCGATTGTATCTTTGATTCCAGGCAGAAGCACATCGGGCACCCCTGCATTGATTCAGAGAATTTTCTGTTTCCCCAGCAGGTACACCCGCTGGATAGAGATGATACCAGCGAGCCAAGAGAGGGGACCGACGAATTTCTATTGCGAAGTTATTGTCATGTTCCGGGGTGGATTGAAGTGTTGACCTTTCGGGAGCAGACACCTCACCTAACCGTGGGTTTTCTTTACTCCCTCTTGACAACCTCAGCGAGCTGTGTTTCGCATCATCAGAGGTGCTTTTTGGGGAGATCGGACAGAAACTCTCGGCTGCCCGGTGGATTCGGAAGCGTCCGGTGGAGGCTTTGTTCAAGAGAATCCCCTTCACCGTGTCGGAGCAGACAGTTCCGATGCTATGTACCGGGGTGGATTGAAATGCAGCTCATCATGGAGCGAGCACTTCACCTAACCGTGGTTTTCCTATACTCCTTCTCGACAACCCCAGCCAACAGAATACCAAGTTTTCAAGGGTGCTTTTCGAGGAGATAACCGTGTTCCCGAGTTGAGCTCAAAACTTATGCTGCCGAAGCATTCGAATGCTCGAATCGGGGAGCGACGCCGCGTCTCTCGTCGGACATTGGTCGGTCAGTACTCGCGACTGGTTCCGTCGCACGGCGATAAGCTATACGAGAATTTTTCCCGATTCGGGCATCAGGAGAAGCTTGTTTCAACAGAAAAAGAGACAAGCCGTGGGCATAATACACGTGTACTCGACGCCCGGGATGGAGAAGAAATCACACGGATCGTACTCCTGACCCGTGGGTCTCACTTCCGAATTCCGGGCTCCTCCGAGCAATCACATCCTCGGAGTTCCCTCGCGTCACAGTTTCGCTGTATATGGATCCTCGAAAGCGAAGATTTCGATGGATTAATAGAGCTCTTACCATTGTGAGGCTGGCGGTGTTGACTACCCAACGAAAAAGAAAGACGAAGGATTCCGAAACCAGAAGCAGACGTGTGTTGCCTTCGACGCCCGCCAAAGTTCGAACTTTGTTTAGATTTTCCCCTGGTACACGTGGATGCGTCAGCGCGGAGTGGTAGTGTCAATTTCGAGACCATCTCGATATTGGGGAGGATTGTTGGAATCGGAGGACTTCTAATGAAGAATACGCAGGGCGTTCAGCGGCGGCGGGGAATGAGAATATCGCTCATGACGGACGGTCTGGAGGTCATCAAGACTTTCGGACGCGGATCCATAGGATTAGGGGGCTCGTACGATCGCCGAATCGCTAAAGTGAGAGAGTGAGTCGAGACTCACGACTTTGAAGCATGGGAGCTCATGCCCGTATTCCGTACATTCAAAGTGAGCACTGGAGTCAGGAAGGTATTCCGCTTCAGGTTAATGAGTGTCTTTATTTTCATATTTTTAGGGTTGTGACTAAGGGTGCTATGCTAGAGTTCACAAAGCGGTCGCTCGGCCGGTCGATCGATCGTAAAGAGAATATTGGAACTACCTCTTTCAAATCACAGTTTGTCTCAGAGACCGGTGACAAATAAACTCAAACGAAAAACGTTGATTCATGACAGAACCTGCGATGGAGAAAAGTTTTCGCTCTCTGCAGAGGTCGTTGTCGAGATGATCGTCATTTCCTTCCTCAGTCTCTCTCCTGACTCATCTCTCATGAGTTCCTACCCCACAACAACTTCAATAATTTAGTGTTTTCTGCTCGTTCAAATGGCCGATGGAATCTTCGATCGCGGGAATCCTTTCGTATACGTCATCCCAGGGGGCGAATATTCCACGCAGTCGTTGTAAAGCTGATGGTGATGTTTCTGCTCGCCAGTCACCACGACTCTGTCGAGTGCTCGGGATATCATTGCGTGAGTGTCTCCATACTGGGAGTAGCCGGTGCATATATATTTGCAGTGAGAATTTTCACCTTACATATGGATCGTGGACATGATGTACTGCGTTCCCGGAAATTCCTTCCAGGACGCTGACACTTCATACAGCTCCGTCCATGTCGCATAATCTGTCAGTACTTTTCGTGAATTTGATTCCATAGGCTTCTTGAAGAATTTGGGAAGCCAAGTCATGAACCGGTTCGAATGCTTTGTAGTAACCGTATTTAGTGAGGTGGAAAAAATCGAACATATCGGTGTGCGAGATGGAACCGTCCTCCTGCGAATAAAACATGATATCAGATATCCCGCATAAACCACCTTACTCGTAGACGGGATCAGAGGGCAATTGAGAAAAAAACTGACTCGCTACCAAGTAGAGACGGTCAATAGAGTCGATAGAAATGACACGCGACTCACTTTGATGAAGATCGAACTGACATCGATGAGTTGTGTGTCATCGTGCTTCTCAATCGCAATTCTGAGAAGTTCATTAGTCTCAACGACCCGAGAGCGAAGAGGCGATTCGTGTTGGCAGCACGGGAGTAGACCCTGAAGTTTTTCCATCACTCAATTAGAATTTTGAGTTTTTGAGTCCAATTCACGGATCTCATTCTCGGAGTCCCGGACTCACCATGACAATTATGAAAGGCGCCTTCTCGGGCTTGTGAGCTTTAACTGCTTTGATGCAAGCTTCGATTCCTTCGGTGATGTCTTCAGGCGAGTCGCCTGCTCGTAGGTTATTCGATCCGATCGAGATGACGACAACCTGAGGGGTTCTCAGCTCTATTAGAAAATTCCTTGACGACGCAGAAGAATCGAGCTCTCTTCCGGAAACAGATCTCCCGGTGCAGCGGTCATGGAAACTTTCGAGGATGTTTACCTTCGGCGTGACCTTGTCGAGCAAGGAGTTGTCGAGTCTCCACAATAAGTTCTGAGTTCTGTCTTCCACGGCAGACAGGTTGAGGGAATGAGATTGTGCGAACAGGATATCCCAGACCTGGGGACGAGGTAGTATCCGATAAACATCGCTGTCGAATCGTAGGGGGAAACTTGGTGCTCGTAGACGCTTCTAAACTCACTTGTGTGACCGAGAGGAAGGCTGTCGTGTGATCTCCAAGGAAAACTATATCTGGCTCCTTACCCTCCGATATGCTTATGAGATGCTGGTGCTGCAAAGATAACCTTTAGTGAGATTCTAGTCACTGAATCAGACCACTCCGTATGGAAATACCCGGAGAGGTCTCAGGAAGACCATTCCGAAAGTTTTCAGTGAAGGCGGAGCATGTTCTCATTCCATTGGCTCGTTCTCCGCAGCGGGACTCGTCGGATGCCTCCACTTCGCTGTTGGGCTCGGTGAGTCCTCAAAGCATCAAAGAACAAAAGCGAGCCCAGAAAATAGCACAAAGACCTGACACTGCAGGCGACCATCACTGAGCTCTGAACTTAGATCGCTGTTCCTCAGACGCAATGAGCCCCGTTTCCTTCAGATAGAACAGACCGGGGAAAGGATTTGAATGGCCGCGCAAAACTTGGAACATGGATATTTTCCGATATGAAATCTGGAGATAGACAGATAGTGAAGGGCGTGTTTGTCATTTCTGCTTCCACATCTGAGAGGAGCTATTGAGATGACACTCGGGATCCATCGGGACAGGAGGGTCGCCTCTCCGAGCAAGCATGGTTTTCTCACGAGCTTAACATTTCCAGAATTCTGATCCGTGTCAAGAACGGAGAACTCACATGAGTCTGGAAGCAGGGCTCATTGTCTCCTGCACCTTTGAGTGTGGGCACTGCTGTCGCAGCCGGCATATCGTTCAGGTTCCTAGGAACGCAGCCGTCGAAAACCACAGATTCCGGAGATATTCCGAAGAGCGACGTGAGCGAAATTCCCGCCGCGATACTCGGGCTTGCTCAACGTTAAAAACTAATTCTGTCTTTCGCTAGTTGGGGTAAAATTCAACAGAAATGGAATCTGTTGATGAGAGAGTGGAGACGATGATGAAGTGATCTTTCCTTATCATGGGAGAGGACTCGGGCGGTTCCTTTATCTAGGCACATAATCGAAACGAATTTTCCGGTCGAGTTTCGAGATCCTCAATGTGACTCCTTCCGGGTTTCCGAACCTGTGACTCGTTGACAATTCGATTTGATCACAACCAGGGTCCAAATTTACTCATCCGATCGAGACGTGCGCTCACTGGGTATAGTCTGGGGCTGCATACAAAGATGGGAGGCATCAGTGCTAATGATCGTGCCGCAGTCGGCAGCCCAACAGCCGAGCGTTTTCTCTATTGATATCACAGGTTGCTGATCCTGCCGTGGTCGTTCAGCGATCTTGCTCCGAGACAGACACCGAATCATGCCTCATCCGTGTTTTTCGAAGACCTCCGACACCGACAAAGGTTGCTTGGGTCGTGAAGGCCCTCGGTTTTGAATAACTTTCCATGGAGCCCAGGCACCGGAAAATTACGGCGGTGGTCAACGAGCAAGAGAAGGCGAGACTGAGAACTGTGAAGTCGATCCACCGTGACCCTACATGATATCCATTGGGACAGTATCCATGGAGATTCTTGTTTCCATATTTCCCCCTTCCTTGACGATATCCGATGCGAGCTCGTCCGGGGATGGACTGCCAATTCTTCTCGTTGATAAGAGCATTCAGAGGCGAAGTCGCCCACGAATCGTTTCGTTGGTGAAAGATGGCTGTGCTCCTCCGCCTGTGATGAAGTATCCCCATACATACAGAAAAGCCCTCGAATCAAGGGAACCCTCCAAGCATCACATCTTGCCTCCGATCCGATAACTTATTGAGATTTTGGAGGGAGGGGACATCGGTAGCATCAAGGAGTATCGAGTTGCCTTTCCGAAGACTTATGAACGATGGAGACACGAGAGACTCCAGCAACCGACGCTCAAATTGCGAACTTGCCTGGGCGAGCGGAAGTTGACACTGATTAGAGGACGCGCGCATCGGACGTCATGGTATTAGAGAAACACCTGAACGAAAAGAAGCTCTATCGCGGGGACATTCTACAAGGGGAAAAGAGATCCGCGTCGTCACCCTAGCTCAAATATTTGTTTGAAACTTCAGATCCGAGAGGACAAAACTTCGGTGTGGGGACACGACGATCAAGCAATCTTTTTATGATGGATTGGCAGTACATACCAAGTGAACCTGAATCTGTGCTGACGACCCGCGCCAAGCTCTGAGCGTCCTCTGCGATCGCTATGCACGCACCTATCCCTCTGCAGGCAGACGATTCTGGAACTCATCAGGCCGCTGCGGTTCCGCGTACTCAGGAGGAAGGAAGGGAAACCCTCGACGGCCAGCGATCATTCGACTTCGAAGATGATCCATAGTGCTAGTCGATGATTCGCTGAATGAATGATCTAACCCGTTCGCAGATCGTCATTGCAATTGCCGCAATTAAAGAGGGCGGGTGTATGGTCCCGTATGATGTGGAGCGACATCGGGCTAGCATGACTTGAGCAACGATTTCATCAGATCCGCTGCCTCCGTCATGTTGAAGGAGATCGAAGACCAACTGAAGCGAACTGCTTCTTCAAGGCCGGTCACACTAGCCGGAGCGGAGGCTGAATCTCGATTAGGGAAGATTTTCGCATGGGCTTCTTTGGTCTATTGACAGAGGGATATCCTTTGAATCTTGAGTTTTGGCGAGAGGTGAGAGTCTCGTGTGCTATATGTGAAGATCTGAGCTCAGGTTGCGTCGATGTCGCTCGAATTCGACGGATCTCGGAAATTTTCCCTGAAGCCTCGCTGCTCACTGAATCTCGAAGTCATTGATCCGAAACATAGGGTATGAAAATGGTACGACAAGTATGGTCTAGAATTTTTTCCTACAGTCCGTATTGATTTCGGCCACTCCTCATTCTGCGAGACGCGCCCAGACGGTGTCCAGAAAATTTCCCTAATGATGGCTGATTCAAGACATCGATGACATCGTTCACTTTCACGATCATCGATCATACACGGAAGATCAGGGACGATTTCGGGGTCGACTCGCATCCTTGAGCCAGAGCTGCGAGATGCCGGAGGACTGCTCGGGTCGGAGCCCCCGCGCTGAGCTCGAGTATTCATCAATCTCGCGGAATGGGTCGAGTTCGCCCAAGCTCGAACCATCGAACCGTGGACCCGCAACCGAGCCGGTCGGGACTAACGGGACTGCGGAAATCGTTCAAGTGCAGAACGGCGCCCACAGATTTCCCGATGAGAAATACAACCACAGACTCATCCTGGAATTCATACGAAGGAAAGCGATTGAGCGACTTCTGCAGTCATGCGGAAAATGCTGCGAGGTAATCTTCATTGTTCCGGACCCTTGGATTTTGATGAATCGGTGTTAAATTCTCTTTGCCCAAGATCTTTCTCTTCCCAAAAAATCGGGGGGAGTTTTTCCATCTCGCTCCGTCAAATGTCTCGACTCGGGAATTCTGCTAGGAAGACTTTCGGCAAGACGTAGGCTGTAGACCCTCCACGAATCTGATGCGAAGTTTCGAGAGAGATCCTGAGACGCGAATCCACGAATCTGATGCGAAGTTTCGAGAGAGATCCTAGGGCTTGTCGATCAATCTCGGAAAGTGAAACTATTGGCTCGGTGCGCAGTTACGGTACGCACTTCCGCAGGAAATCGAATAATGAGTCGTACGCTCGTGGTTCCTTTCTCAATTCCTCGCACCCATCGCGCGTTCCTCAGACTCCTGGCTCAGTGAAAAAGTACGGTCGTAGCTCCAGTCTTATTGGAACGTCAATTAGAAGCAAATTTTCCTATCCTTAGTTTCCTCGAGTTAGGAGGAGAGACTCAATTTCTCCGAGCAGTCCGCTATCCGAGTCCATGAGGGCAGGCTGTATACATCCATCGGTTTTGGCTTCTCTTACGATGAATATACGCTTGGCTCATTATCGCTCCTGCCATGAGTTTCTGAGGAAAGCTCGACGATCTCAGGCGGCTGCATAGCTCCGGTGAAGTAGTGCTTCTTCTCTGGAGCTCGGCAGCCTATGCAAGGATTCCTCAGCGGTAAACCAACTCATCGTCCACTCTAAGGAGCCTGTAAACGCATCGAGAGTGGAGCGCATCGGTATCGGAGTGCTCCTTCCTTGTGGGAAACAGTTCTGTTGTAATCCGCGGAGGGTAGGGGTCGGTCGGGCTCCAACGCTGCTGGAAGCGGGTTAGAATTATTTACGGCCCATAACTCTGAGCATAAGAAGTTTCCGTCGGCACGGTGCATTTGATGAGCTGGTCTGCGCTCGGGAATTCTCGAAATTCAGATCTGGGAAAACCATCCGAGTAGCGCCGGGGAGCGGCCTGTCTGGATGCGACGGGGGAATCAAGCCCCTCGAAAGCGATACCGTAATGCGTATCGGCGTATGGATGTCGAGAGTGAAGTCCATCATGCGACTCGGAGCAAATGATACGGACTCGGGTGGGCTGTGGCATCTTACAGTGAGCATCAGGGAAGTCCATCCCATTCGGATCTCCATCCCCCTCCCGCTCTTGTGCGTCAGAATCCGGTCGATGTAACGAATCGACATGAATCGGGGAGTGGTACGAGTCAGAGAAGGCCGCCCCAGTCATCTCAAGGAACATGTATATTTAGAACTCGAAATTAGGGGAACTTCCTCTCGCGTGGAGTTCTTCGTTCGATTAGGAACACGATGATTCTGAACGACAAAGTGCCTGCAGATGCGCGGGGCGAGGCGAGCGCAAGCAGATCATCGGAAAAGTTCAATAATGAATGGTCTTTCTCAAAGTCAGCTGTATGTTATCCCTCCCGCAACGCAGTCTTGAACGACGTGCCGTTTACGGCAACCTAGATGAAGTCTGTCAGCGAGACTTTCGGCCGCGGGAGGGCGGGCGACGTTCTCTAGGCCTCGGTGAATCACGCTCGTCCTGGGGAAGAATGTCAGCATGATGACGGGCCGACTCAGCGGGAAAAGATCTCATCAGCCCATCAAGTTTGAGAAGTTTGCTCAACATTTTTATTAGCAGTAAACGAAATATGTTCCTTTTTAATTTTCGAGTTCCGGTCTCTGAAATCCAACGAGATCCCGGGAAATAATGGCGGACGCTTCCAAAGTTTCCACTTGGTCCTCCTGATAGGGATTGCATTTTAAAGCATCCGTCTCGCAGCAGAATTCAATCATACATTTCCATAGAATGAGTGTATTCACAATGAGAATTCGCGATCCATTGGCTTTCGTCTTCCATCTGACTCAAGAACATCTCCGACTTCCTCTTATTCGGGAAGCCGCCCTGCGGCTCCTCAGTCGCTCGCTCGCTCGGGCGAGCATGTTCGCATGAATGCGGAACCTTTCCGTAGCGGCTTATGACTCCCGCCGCGATGAGTATGAATTGAGGTCCCGTTATGGAATCGTCGCTCCTCTGTTCACAAGCTCAGCGGTGGATCCCTCCCGTATTGTCCTGATGTCAGCTTCTCCGGGCGCAAAATCGGTGTCCGGCTCGAACGAGCTTCAACGGGGCTGCATATATGTACATACGTGTATGTACGTTCTCGATGCTTAGATTCCCTGGTTTTCCCGCTCATATCTTAGGAATTGCCGATTCCACAGGTCGAAGGCGTGGGGCGGGGCCCGGGAGTTATTCGCGGTTGAAACTAAATATTTGCTGGGGACCGCTCAATAATCGGTTCAACCAGGATGGACGCCCAGTCTGGCGCCGTCCTTTCGTGATGTCACGCCTGGAGCCTTTTCGGTAGGCTGAACTTGTCGTGGAAGAACGGTCTCAGGTTCCGAAGGCAGGCTACGGCGCGTCGGGTTCCTCTAGAAGAGTCTCCGGCAGATCAGTTCTCAAGATAGGGATGGAAAATCGCGATGATCGATGAGCACATGACCGTGGTCTACGCAGGACCTCTTGGAGAGGTCGGGCGATCAGGATAGGACGGCGGAATCATCCGCGAGGAGGACTCGTCTTGGTAATTCAACAAAGTTCGCGGCTTCGAAAATCAATGGATATCATTCGCTGCTCCCCTATGATTGTACGAACCGCAGCGAAGGCCCCTGGAGCCTCCGTCTGATTTATTCCGAGACAGAGCTGGTTCGCATGGAAATTCTCATGCCTTCATTGTTCTCCGGCCTCTCATGACTCGTTCGGACATGGGGTAAATGCACTCCGGAACGCTTCGTTTTCCGAGTCAAGTCCAGAGCGTCGCGCGACCCAGAATACGACGCCCCCACTGTAAAATGCCTCCTTGGGCATCGGGAGTCTCTCTTGGTCCTCGGGTCCACCGGCTCGCTCCCTGAGAAAATAACGCCCCCTCTTCTGCGGAGAATGATTCGAAAAGAAGAACTCAACGATCAGCTCCGATCCATGGAGACAAAAACCCTCGTTGCGCGAGCCTCGGTCTGCGAAATTCACTCTTGAATCCGAAGTATTTCCTGAGAAGGAGGCAATCTCGTTCAATCTTGAGGATTCCCCGCAGCTCCGATTTTGCGTCGGAAACGTTACGACGTTTTGCGAGGATCGTGAGATTTGTGTGGCGAGTCGGGACTCCCCTCCGAGTGGGCCGGAGATCCTCTCCGGTTTCGAACACGTTGTTCTTCGATGACGACAATCGAAGGTCGCGAAGTCCGTGGGCTTTGCGGAGGACTCGGCGAGGTGTTCGGAGCTCTTTGTGAGTGCAGTTCCTGGGAGACGAACTCTGCTGAATTCAGCAGAGCGTAAGGGAATTGTTGACTCAGTTTGCGATCGCCTATAAACGGAAATGAGGAGTGAGGACTATGATGTTTTTTTTTGACGTGAGCGACGAGCTTCGCGTCCCATGGGGTCTTCAAAAACCACGAGGAGAATGAGTCGAGAACTCACGTTGACAGTTGTGGGAATCATGATTAATTGGCATCAGAGTACGAGTCGAATAGTCCTCCTTGCGGACGGCCATTATCTGGAAGCGAAAGGTGCGAGTCATTCACGAGAAGGGCTTCCTCATACATAGATACTGAGAGAATGCTTCATCGATCGACAGCACGAGCTGTTCATGGAGAATCTCCCTCGATCATTCGAAGCCGTTGGAAGACAGCCCCTGTCCCTCGGAAACAGTTCGCTCCGAGGAAGATTTTCCGAGCTTTATCAACTGAGTTATGGCATGAGCTATTTATGCGCGAAGGGCCTGCGCTTTGATCGCAAGTTTGATTTTTGTCGCCGCTATCAATCGATCCTACATCCCTCGCTTCATCAGCGAGTCAATGGGCCTGAGAGTTTGCTGGGGAATTCCGCCGGACAAGGGTTCATTGGCACGGACGCTCGAGATCTAAGCACGCTTTATTGCTCCAGTAGCCATTTCGACGAGGCATCACCCGTGAAGGACCTCGACGCTACAGCTCCGGGGACGCTGGCGGCACGACTCGGGAAGATATGTATTCGGGAAAGAGAGCCAGATATGACGCAATCGGTGGGAAATATTCCATATGAGCTGCGTTTAGAGCGCATTGAGTTCCAACGATATACATAGATTACAGCCTCTCATTCGGAATTCTACTTCCATCGCCGGGGATATCGGCTTGCATCGCGTGGGAGGCAGTGGAAACATCGGAGCGAAGTGGAAAGATTCTGACACGCGACCGGCAGCGTTCTGCGCGATGACACCAAGAACCTGCGACTGGAAAGCTCATTTTCGAGATTCGACTCCCTCAGGGTAGAGAAATTCATCGGGAGGGCTAATGGAGCCTCGGGTTCGACCCGGTTCCTATCGGAATATGGCGTGACGAGTGTCACGCGTCATCGCTCGAGCAGGTCCGGGATGGGCACTGGGCAGGGAAGGAGCCCCGCATCCGGCTGTGATCTCGATTTAAGGGTTGGGAATAGGTGGGACGCTAATTGGTTATGACCGCCTCGTAGACAGGAATATCTCCTAACTTCAGCCTTGACATATAACCGCTAGCTACTCCGCATGCGCGCTGAGCACGCTCTCTCATCGAATATGAAGAGATCGATCCGGGAACCCGCTCAGATTCCGCTGGAAGCGCTCTTTCGTGATACAATCTACATCGAACTCAAAGGCGTCAGCGGAAAGACACCACAGATTGAATGGGACATTTATGCGTGGGCTGAGCTGCGAAACTTTCGCGCAAGACGGCGCGACGGCAGACGGGAGCAATTTGGTTCGTAGTCAACATGGGGAAACCTTGCAAGGTTCAAAAGCATTGTTTTCAGTCGGAATTGACTCCAACTCTGTGAGGGCCAAACGAAGTCGTAGGTGACGAGCGATCCTTCTCGATTGTTTTTCGACGCATTTCCACTCTGAACTAACTCGAGAGCCGAATTACGGCAGCCAAAAGCCGAGAAGAGCAACGACGACGAGAAGGGAAGAGCAGACTCCCCGAAAACAATAAGAAAAGCCATCAAATCGGTGTTTACAGTGACCTCGAAACTCATCTCCTCGACGGTTGCTCTTCACTCAGCTCTCCTTAAGAATGAGAGATACCCTCCTAAGTGAAGTTGAAACTCGTCGGTCGGATAACAAACGAGGGAACCGGAGACAGGCTGGCTATCCGAAAGGATAAGAGAACTCGTTTAATGATCACGAGCGAGTCTCGCGAGCGGGGAATCTCCGGGAGTCGAGTCATAACCCAGCGCTTCTCGAAGAAACAGGTCTGATATTTTTGAAGGCTCGGAATGCGATACCGCGTACCGGAGACATGGTCTATACCGGCGCCATGATAGCGAATTTCCACCCCAGCCACTCTCAGGGACAGCTCGGCGATGGGACTCTTGCTCTTTGCTCACTTTCCAGGAATATCTCGTTCGGAAACCATACTCTGGCATTCGGAGAGCTCTATCGGGAATCTTCTATTATTTTCCTCAAAGAAATCCCACATCTATCCCGAGAAGAGCTTGAAAAGCGTGGAAAACTCGTTCTCTGGAGCTACCGAGGAACGGGTCCGACTCGGCAGGAGTGTCCGAGTTCGCTTTCTCAGACCCACGATCCCAAGGGAAAGGAGCCCAGTTTTCGCTGAAGAAGTAGGTTTTAAGTTGAACACTGCGGATCTTCTGAACGGCTCCCCCTAGACGAAAAGAATAATTCCGCGAGCCACGGTCCCAGTTCTCATGATTAGGACCCTCACGATTACAATCAGATAATGATTCATCATGGAGTTTAAGTCGTCGCGAGGATCCTGACCCCCGAATGTCGGCGGAACTGCGACGCGGGGACAGTCTAGGAGAGCGTAAGGCATAAAAGTGACTTGCATAGATGACCGTCGGACCTCTCACTCGGCAAGGAGCCCCGCGGAGGAGAGCCGACTGCGAATTCATGTTTCTAAAAATACACGAGCTTGAATAGCTGAGTCCGCGGCGAGCCAGAGGGCGGAGAATTGTCGCGGGAAACTACAGTAGAATAATTTTACCTTGAAAGGAATCCTCACAACGATTGGACGGTCAAGACATCCGAGAAGGGCTTTTATTTTCACCTCGTATTGAACGCTGACACCGTAAGGATTTTTTTCCCTTGGATCGATGAGCGCTGTGGTGGACGAAAGACTGAAAACGAACGATTTATTCGAGACTTCCACGGGACCTGAATTCGTGAGAAATCGTATGGGAAGAAACACAACCGTGGTCGACTCACTTGTATTGTGAAGGATCATCGTGGCTGAAATCACTCTCCACCGCAAGGGCGACTGGAAACTTTTCGCATTTATCAAGAACAACGACGAAGTCTCGTTGGGCATGGCTCATCGGAGGAACAGAGCTGGTCCCAGCTCCTCCTTCGCTACTGTCACCTAGAACGAGGAATAAGATGGAATCAGAGTTCAGCCCCGCTGACGGTGGTTTGAAAACTCCGAGCCTTCGGAAGCTGACTGAGCCGCGTAGAATTTCCAAAGCTGTGGATGGCTGCGAGCAAGCTCGCTAAACTCTGAAGCCAGGTGCCCCGCCAAGACTTCTCCTATGACAGCGATTTATTCCATTTCCCGTGCAGCTCCCGTCCTCGCAACGCTCGCTGTGCACGAGCTTGACATGGCTTTGATTAAAATCTCTCACGACCGTCGCACGGTCGTCCCAGCTCGACCTCTGTCGGAGCGATGGCTCTTCGTAATCCTCGGGTTCAATCTCCGATTCTCCAGAAATCACGCATTACCGTCCGCATCTATCTAGAGTGTAGAATATCCACAGGAATCCAGCGGGCGCTACCATCGGCGTACTAAACGCGAGAGAACCCGGACAACATCCGATAGGCTCGAAAGACTTTTATCGGCTCTTGGAGCTGCGTGAGCGCCGCCCGCAAAGATATTCGAAGCTCTGAAGTTTTCGATCTCAAGTAGCGTCCATAGTATCAACAAATTTAGGCCGCTCGGGAAGTCAGCGCCGGGTGAACGTCTCGGTGACAGAGTTCGCTTGAGGATCGCTGAGTTCGAGGGTCTGAGAGCCGAGTTGAAGCTGACAGACAAAAACTTGAAGTGCGATCCCGGATAAGCCAGGCGGTCGCTGAGTAAAAACTAGGGGTAAGTCTAGGGGTAAATGCTGTCCAGCAAGGCGTACCAAAAATAGAGTGACCTTCGTAGTGAGGTCTTGGGAGAAACGGCGCTGAAAACATGGAATACAAACAAGGCATGGAGGCTCGGTAGACTCCGAGATGAGCTCTCTCCCGTTCGAGATATGCCCCAGCGTTTGAGACGGAGGCGAGCAATCGAGGGAACGTGCCCGAACCACGTGTTCCCGCAGTTTTCTCCCGGATCGGAATAAATAATGTTCTCGTTCTGCCGTGAGATGAGCATCTCGGCTGCGAGATATTTTTTCGTATCGCAAAACCGCCCTTGGATCAGCTAGAGATTGATGAATCGAACCAGAACATTCAACATAAGCTAGAACATTGACGTTCGCATCTGCCACCAGAACAAATATTATTGGATCATTCGGACCAGTGTCTCATCTAGCGCTGCGGCGAGATACGTCCTGGGTAAAAACTCGCAACGCTGGTTGAGCGAGCGACTCCGCTCGCAGCATGTGAACGATCCCTCTGTGAAATTGCGCACGTCGGACGCGGTGCACGCCTCGCTGGTAAGAAAATCAAACTCGAGGTTCATTGGCTCACCAGTTCCGATGATGTTCTTGAAGCGACCGTGCGTGAACATGCAGACATTGACGTGCTGTAACACCGAGACTTTCAATCTATGAACAGTCTTTGTACGAGTGGAATTGTCGATGGTGATATGGACGTGCAGAGGATCTCCTTGTTGATACAGCTCCTGTGGAGGGAATGACATGGTAGCGAGACGAGCACTGATGGACCACCGCGCCACCGTGACAATTATTCGAGATCGTCGTAGACGTTCTCACGATGAATGAAATCTAATAAAATACCAAATGAGAGGTCCGGCCTCACCGCGAGTTCATCGAGGTGATGATCTCACCTTGTCCAATATAGCCTGGATTTGGAGCTTCCCAGATGAGAGGACGAAATGTTTCGTGATGTCTATACTTGGGCGGTTGCAGGGATTCCTTATGAGTTCCTCGGCGTATTCTACAGTGCGGAGTGCCATGCGCACCATGTTCCGTTTGTGAGGTTTGTCGTAGTTTTTGTCGGCTGTAAAGGAAACCCGTCCAGTAAAATTCATCGGAGCTCCCGAATCTCAGGACGGCTATCGTCCGTTCATTCCCGCTCCCACGACTGCCGTCCTGTCAGGGAAAGATCGAATTGCGCGAATACTCCGCAGCGATCGTCGGAAGTCCCTCGAATAGAGCACACGGATTCTCGCAGCGGATAGGTTCCAGAGAGTAGGGAGAGGGCAGAGAATCGACGCCTCCGCCGTTGACTCGGGAGCCAAACATCCCACGGAAGGAAAGACCGAATTCCTGATGACTGCGGTGCACGCCGATTCGTTTATCAGTTTCGGACTCGGACATACGTATACACATATATCTCGGGAAGAAACACCGGGAGGGAATAAGCATTCTTGCTTGGAGTGAGAGGGTTTCGTGTCTCTATTGTTGCTCTTTCAGTACATTGGCGTGTACTCTGGTGTTCTCCCAGTTTCTCGCAAGTTCGAAACTGGATGCTCTCGACCGGTAATGGAAATTCGGCCTGAGAGAATCCCCTCGTCTGCATTACCCTCGCGGGAAGAATTCCTCACGGAGAAGGAGACGTTCCATCCATGAGTCATGTCATCGATTCCGTGCTCGCTTTCGTATCGAACATATTTTGATACGTTTTGCTCCGCAGGTCGATGGGAGTTTGAGAACGGTGTCGCAATACTCCACCTTATGAGGCTCGAGTAAGAAGATTATGTCGTCGCGACTCATTTCGCCAAGGAATTTCTCCGTTGGATACCGAAAGTCTCAATATCGGCGAATCAAGCCCTGTTTCCTTCGCTCAGTTCTTTTTCCTCCGGATGTTGACCGATGTTTGGCTGAATTTGGTTGGAGGAGAGTTTTTCGGGAGCGAACAAAGCTTGAGGCAGACAGCTCATTGAGCACGTTCGGATCAGACTCTTGGCTCTCTTGTCTGCGATGTTGCTCTCCCGTCGTGGAAGCTTGAGCCCCTCCGGTACACTTCCATCGAGACTTCATCAACATGATGAGGGACGCAGGAGCTACACTATTATCCGGCCCCGTGTTTTTTTCGTTCTGTGGCAAATGGCTAAGTCTTCCTAATCGAGGTGACAGGAAGGCGCGCAGTATGACCGTAGGTCGCACCAACGTGATTCGGGCACGCGGTACACGTGTCTCCTAATTCTGCCGAGAACTTCGACACACGCTGCGTGGGTCACAGGTGGGTTTCATCATCGGCACCTGACGTGCGCTCAAGGATGCCACTTCCCGAGGACTCAAATCGTCGAATCGTATCGGATTCCGGGAGTATGAGGTCAGTGCGTAGGACAAACGTAATCGGTCATAGAACAAATATCTCTGAGCCGAAAAGAGAAAAACAATCCATCTGGATGTGCTATCAGGTTTCCGCGTAGTGGGCGGGCGGGCTGAACTTGCCGGACTGTGTGCCTGTTGTCGTTTTCCAGCTCAGAAGGAGTTCAGCGTCAGCCCTAAGCTCCGGCTCAAGGAACTTTGTTCGACTCGAACTTTCTGGCTTTCGGAGAAAAATAATGAGACGGTCGAGTTTCGAGGCAAGAGCAGCTAATGAGGCGAACCGATAAGGCTGCGAGAACCAATTAAATAATTCAATCGTTCCACGAGTTAGATCCTTGCGATATACCCGCCGAATACTTCTTCCGGGTAGCGATCGTCGCGCGGAACGTCGTACAGACAGGCAAGCGCGGAGCTTTGAGGGGCTGTGCGCGAGGGATTCCGAATAGAATTGATGAGTTCCCTGCTTTTCACCAAAGGAGAAGTCCTTGAGGAAATTCCCGGTGCTCATCTCCCGCCCGACGGAATTCGACTCACTCATCACAACAGAGAATGTTCTCGACGAATCGCTGGGCATGAGAAGTAGCTCGTGCGGAAAACTAGGGAACCGCTCGTCCTGTTCTGTCGGTGGTCGCATCGAAAACATCATCAGCGGAACGTTTTCGAAATTCCGCGACGTAATTCATAATGACCCCCTGGTCCTCGGAATCAGGTCGGCTGGATTCCCGGTACCCGGAGTAAGTTTCTCCGTTGCCGCCTTACCGGTCTGAATCTTCCACAACGGAAATTTGCTGCGGAGATTCGCCGTCCAGTTCACTCGATCCGCGCCGGAGCTACGAGAGCTGAGCTCTTGGAAGGCTGTCCGTTCCAGAAGGCTGTTCCGCAATCTTGACGGAAGGAGAGTCCACATTGACCGGAAACCGTGCTGATCTAATCGTTCGTTCGAGGAGCATACTCGAACATCGCTCAACACTGCCCTGGTGGGTGGGAGCTGTCAAGCCCTGATCAGGCCGACCTCACTGGAAACTCGGAACCGAAGTCCGAAGAATATGGATATACCCCTACTGATAAAGCGCGACTGTCCGTGATCGCAGAAGTCTTCAGAAACTCTTGATATTCTCCTCAGAGCATCGGTAGTCGACGTGGAGTCAGGGCAGCGTGCTCAGGTTGAGCATTCGCATTCGCCGAAATAATGAGAGCGCTATCGGAATCAGGTCCGATCCATCGGCAGCGAGGATATTTCGACTGCTTAGAGCAATCGCTGAATATTTCCATTATGTGAAATTCATTATGACACTCGAATTTAGTATATTCGTTAGTTAGAAGAGTCAGTAGTGAAATTATTTAGGCCGCAATTGTGGCGCGGCCTTAGGCCGGGCTCCCTGGGGAGGTGTATCATATTTGCGACACCTTCCCTTAACAAGACCTTCAGAAACCTTGTCCGAGAGAGACTCCGAGAGGGTTTATCAGGAAATCCTTAGACACTTCTCGCCTCTCAGGCTCCCCGGGGCTCCAGCGATGCGAATGTCTGGACATCCGTTCCAAATCCGAACATCCGACGGGGTCGTCAAAAGTGTACTGGACGATCTTCTTTCGCCAGAGGCACAAAAGCTTAGACCCGGGATCACTATTTCCTCGAGGGTCCTCTTCGCACTATGGTACATAATACTAGGAAAGAATAAATTGGAAGATAGGCGCGATAAATCGAGGAAACGTTCGCGAGGATTTCTTTGCGAGCCTGGCTTGAGGACCGCATTTTGAATCGGATCCGTGCTGATCGATAGCGCTCCTGTTTGTCTACGCAAGTATAGAAAAATCACATTGATACGCACGCGGCCAGATCATTACAGGAGTTTTCTACGGGGAGTCGAGACCGTTGTTTCGCGTCGGCGCACGGCGAAGAGAGGAATGTTATTTGGATTACTGGGCTGATGGGATTAGCGGCCGATGTCGCCGCTTTTTCCCGATCGTGGGGACACTCAAAGTATTCTGGAACTCGATGAGCTCGGAGCGAATTTGGTCAAGCAGCATTGACTCGGTATTTCCCCCGATATCGAATAAGTTTTCCGACCGAAAAGCTAAGCGAACGACATAACCATGATGCCTTGGATTCGGTACGGCACTTGTCCAGTGTCCAGGGACGATGATGAAGGAGATAGTGAAGACGGGAATTTACTCACCCATGAACACTCTCAGATCGTATGAGACGCCCAAAGGCGCGCCAACATAGGGTCTTGCCGGGTGCAGGCGCACGCTCGGGGGAGCTTTTGGCGTCACTCTCAACGTGAAGGGAAAGGCTTCCGCTCCCAACTTCCTCATGAGATTTATTTGTAATGGCGTGAGCTCCTCTGACTGCGTTTGCTCCGAGGTTTCCGGGTATACCTGTAATAAAAGCATGTCCGTGAGGAGCCATAAATTTCTCGCGACCCATCTCTGTTTTATCTCATGGGGTCCTCGATAATGATTGGGCTTGTCCATTTCTCACTAACCTGTTTGTAGTCGAGAATGGCCTCTGTATAGAATTTCAGACCCATAACCTCCTCGTCCTCCCTTCCATAGCGGAAATTCAGTACAACCATGGCGAAGACGCATCGATTCCCTACATAGTTCGACTCCACCAGGACCACACCGTCTATCGACGTAACCTGAAAGGACGGCCTCGCCTTGGAAATTTCCGATAGAGTAAGCACAGCATTGAGATATTCGCTGCTCCAACATCGTAATTTGCGGCCTCGTAGCCCTCCTTGCATTCCGGCTCGTTCGCCAGGCATCAAAAAATCCGACAATAGGCGAATAGTGATATTAGGGTACGAATGAGTTCCTTCGTCGGGGGATATTCCTCCTATTTCCATTTGAAAAGACGGTTCGCGACGCGGGTTCCGGAGCGCGAGAGGTCGGAGAGACGGCTCCCTCGCCAAACCCCGGCGATCTGTTTGGCCCGAGGATTTCGCGCCTGGGAGTCCCTCCAATTCTTCCGATGATCCTCCCATGGAGGTCAACATCTTGTAAATGAGCTCCAGATATTCCGATGTCTAGTCTTGAGTGAGCTATGCTTATTATTATTATGCGCTGGCACCCGAATGTTCTAGTCATTGTTCATGCAGGGCCGGAGCGCTGAGGCTCTATCCGCAAGACCTCTGAGTTCTCCTTCTCAAACAAACCGATTTTTTCGGCCTCGTTCCGGGCTCCCGCCGCTAGGGTCCACTTCCCAGAGAAAAGCTTCTCTGCACTGCCCGCAAACCTCGGGCAGCACGCACGGATCAAGACCTATTGGAAGGCATCGGGAAGGGTCTGTTTGGTCAAACGAGGGCGCGGCGGCCAGACGGCGCCATAGCAGCAGAAAGTCGACAAATGAAATTGAGCCCAGCCTTGTAAAGGGTTTGTTACCGTCGACTACAGAAACCCCTCCCGCTTCGCCGCTGTTACGCCCGATGAAAACGGGGGCTTGACGAGCTCGACACGAAGCACTTCTCCTTCGAAAAAGTACGACAAAACCAGAACAAGAACCCCCGTTGCTCCTCCTGTCAGGATGTAGTTCAATGGAAGTGGACATGACGTGTTTTATTGGTTAACTCACACAACTACACAGCTCACAACTGGCACACAGCAAACCAAGCGTTGTGGTCCCACCACACGCCGAATTTCTACCACAAACCTTTTCGTTGCTCAGATGAACGAATTCCCGCGAACTCAGGTACAATGTCAAGCGTGAGTTTGGACTCTGCTTCTTGAAGACCCTGCGAAGAAAAGTTCAACGATTGAACTGGAGCGGACCGCCAAAGTTTCGAGAGTAATTGTGTAATCCGTTGGAACCTCCGCTGCTGATGAATAAAACACGGGCTCTCCTCTTTCCAGAGGACAGAATAAATTTTAGAATGCTAAGGTCGCGGCCATCGGAAGCTCCGCCCGAGAATGATGGGTATCGGACAATGGGGCGATCCAGGAGATCTTTTACGCAGAAGACGGACGGCAATTATCGAAATCAGATGACGTATTCCGACGTAACGCTCTTCTATGCACAGGTCCCGGTTGGGAATGCTCAAGATCAATTATTAACCTCAGACAACATCGATTATTACCATTTCGCCTGAGCTGGACTCCGTACGCCATCGATTACGATGCCACTCGAGACAAGATCGAAACTCGGCTCACGTATGGATAAGGTGAACCGGCAAGCAGCAGTTTCTCCCAGGTCAATCGAGTGCTTCAAATCCCTGGAGTTCAGCGAAGCGCGCATGAGAACGATCCCATTCACTTCTATTTCTGACCCATGGGAGAGACTTCATCCGATGGCTCCTTCTCTCGAACAACATACATATGAACCATGGCCGGGGAAGCGGTTCTCAGAGAGCGGATGAGCTCACTCAGAAGTTGTTGCCCTTCGTTCTTCGCTAGGCTTCGTCGAGAAATCTTCCCCGCCATTAGGAGACCGGGCGAATTCAAGGTCACAAACAAGGCCAATGATGCCTCGATCGTCGCAAAAACAACTCTCGACAGTAGATGATGCTCGGAGACGATCATGCTTGCTGATTGCTGCGACGACGAGAAAACTCTTCGGATTGGATTGCTGGGCGAGAAAAAGTGAAATCAAAGAGAATCGTCAGAGTGGTGCAATGGGGAGAGAATTCTTCTATGGTGCGCAATGACTTTTATTTTATCGAAAGTACGAGTCCGCAGTGGCAAAAACGCCGACATTTCTCACGGATGCCCTCCATGTAGCTCGCTCGAATTACTCTGGACAGAGACATGAGCAGTAGAAGGAAGGCCGGGCATCATTGACCCCGGGTTCTGGGTATCTCTGGAGAACTTGCTCGACTAAGCTTCCTCGAAGCTAATCCCGCGACTCATTTCCCGACTTCGCGCAATATGTTTGACGTACGAGAGCGCATTCGACTCATACGAATCGGGGCACCCAGGGCTTGCTCGCAAATAAGTCACTCCATCCTACCGATTACCGTATCGCTCCGGAATCCCTCCTGAGCTCATCGTCGCCTATCATCCTTCGCACATACATACATCTCGGCCAAGGTCTGCGAGCAAGCTCGCAAAGTGCCGAACTCATTCAGCCATCCCCGTCCATGGCGATTACATTTCGCCTCGGGCTAAACCTATTTCGCGCAACGAGCAACCATCACGGACGTGATGTATTTGCATCAGCGTATTTGGCTCGCCGCGAGAGGCAGCGCTTTCTAGTTCTCTGTCCTTCCGACGCTGAAAGCTTCCTGAGACGCACCATCTATGTCCGAGCGAGAAGCAACCTTCGAAATTCGCCTCGAATGTTATCGATTCCTGAACGCCATCGCTGCCGTGAGGGAAGTCTCAATCATTCGCTCTGCTTGCGTTTGTTAGGGCGGCGTGGCGTCTTTTGCGGCTAGGAACCCGCAGTGGACGAGACGATCAGCCATTCCGGGTAGATTTTCTGCGTCGTAGAGGTCAGGTTTTCAACGGGGCCCTTCTAAACTCTTGTCGTATCGACCGCTCTCACGAGAGACGAGGAAAATAGACTAGGGAAAAGCAGTGATCAAGTGCTCAGGTAGATACATAGTACCAGGAGATCACAGCGAATCTGAAACTTGTCCCGATACAGCGATGCAGGCAGAATCCCCCGCCGCAGCCTCAACGCTGGAGCTCGGCGAACTTACGTTGCTCCATTATCGATTCCTGTGTACATACAGCGGTTGACCCGATTCCTACAGTCGCGCTGAAGTCACAGGTCCGAAATTCGTCGACGGCTGTAAATACTGCTTAGCGCTGCAGATTGGCGAAACCGGAGCCTTGCTCCCGTGCATGGCTGAATCATACGCGGCGCGAAGCTGGACAGAGAGGAGAGAACTGAGAGTCCCGTCTCCGAGAGGCAGCATGTTCCCGGGAAAACAGTTCCCCGGGAACAACCCCTCCCTCCCCCTCCGCGCGGAGTTTCGAGCAGTGACAGAAAATTGCGATTCTGCTCTCCTTGCCGCGATGCACGGCGATGCTGGAGGGAGTCCTCCCTCAAGGGGAGACGGTTTCGCACGTCGGCGCAGATGGAGCCCGGTCGCATTTGTTCGTTTTTCCCGTTTTCTGTTCGCTGAGACGATCATCGATTCGACTGCAGCCGCCGAGCGCGGTGTATGCAACAATGTCGTACTCTTGACGCGTAACAAGAAAAAAAGAAAGGAAACCTTGGCGCAGAGGCACCAGCTGCATACGGTGTCGCCTTCTGTGTAGTACATCCCCGAACACGAGAAGAGGACTTTTCAAGAAACTCACAATCAGACGGAGCATTGTTTTTCTTCTTCTCAGTCGAGCGAGGACAGAGGCCGCCGCCGCCGAGATGATGTGCATCAGCTGGCGCTTTCCGCGTTGCACGGCCCCAAGTCCTCTCTAACCACTCGTAGTTGAGCCTACCTGTTCTCTTTCGGCACTGGCTGCCTCTCTTTGTACAAACGACGCCGACGCTGGTAACGAGACTGGACCCATGGGGCTCTGGGCAGACACAAGGGAGCCCTCCCCGGCCCAACACAGTCGCTTCACGGCACAATGTTTGTCCTGGAGGACGTCACCCGCGTTTGAGAATCCTCATTGAAAATGATGCCTTCGTCTGAGTGAGACTCCCCTTGCTGCTCAATTTCCTCGTATCACTGGCTGGTTTCTGCAGCTCGTCGCAGATAGCAGCTCACCGACGGGAATACCTGCAACAGCTCCTCGAGGTTCAGGCCTCGAGCCCCTATGGACGACTTCATAAGGGAATCCACCCTTATCGCGACCCTCCTCTCTCCTCTCCATCGCATTAGAAAATATCCCGTAGTCGAGAGAGGGAGTTCTTTCCGTTCGGGGACGGACCATAAGTCATCCGCTCCCGTATATGCTTTCAGAACCCCGCTCGGCCCCACGCACTGCGCATCGCAGCGGAGCCCTTCCGGGAGTTCAGAGATTCCGTTCTTAATGGAGATGCGCAGCGCCATAAGACATTCCGATCCGCTCCTAATTCCTGTCGGCACGGAAGATTGTGTACGTCGATACGAAGGAGTAGTGTGAGTCGTTCCGTCTCCGTCGTGTCACAAGTCGTGAATTAATAATAATAGATTCCTCCTCCATCCTGGATTTCCGGTCTAATCCCCGAGCCTTGAGTGCACTCCACGACTCCCTTTCAGGAACAAATTCCCTTGTGCCGTCGCCCCGAGGGATTTTCGAGGGAGTTCAACCGCCACACGGGACTTTTATCCGATTGTCTTCGTGTTGAAGAGTTTTTCCTCCCAGCTCTAGGTGACGTTGAGGTGGATCGACGCCAGGAGAGCGTAGGCATTTATGCACAGCCATCCGCTGGCTGGACGCGAGGATTTCCATCAAATGTTTATGCAGGCACGACCGAGGCATGTTGCGGTCAGTCGATTTGCATATCAGATATTATCGCCGTGAGAGTGAGCTTCCCGTAATCTGCAAGTCGTCCATCGACGATGGGAGCAGCGAGCCCGGCAGGGAGACCGCAGCCTCCATTAAATAGGGAATGTTCATTATGACGGTTGGCAACGAAACTCTATTTTCCGTTATTGCTCATGGTGGAACCACAACAAGCGGTCGGGTGTTAGTTTTCCCATACCTTCTCACACTTGTCTGCGTCTGGCCGTCGAGGAGAGTTTCGAGCGAGCCTGCGTCATCGTTCCCTCTGCTTCCGGGCCGTGACATTCACCTCTAGGTCCGGCTGCGAGGGCGTTCGTCGAGGGGGAATATCCGCGGGAAATACACTCATCAACTTGTCTTGTTTTCGCTTCAGTCCCAAATAATCCCCATGGATCAAGGTCATCAAATGCCGACGGGAAATTTCCAGTTGATCACCTATCGTCATGTTTGCGATTTACCATTGAAGGACGACGGAGATCAAAACTCCATTAGGACTCTGACGGCGGGGGACTACAATTCTATTGCTGCGAAACCTCGCGAGGATCAGCCGATTTCAGAGGAATTATCGATGATTTCTCGGGGAAATTTCCCTCTCATTCCCCGAGAACCGATCCACACTCTAGTTCACTCGGCAACTCAGAAGTTTCTTGGAGGAAATTTACGAGGTATACGCCCGAATGCACTTTAGTCCCGCGAGCTGCCGCCGACTGTGCGGGCTCTCCATGAGTAGCTAGCTTCCTCTCCGGAGTAAGCGATTCCCGAGAATTCCAACTCGTCCCGTCAAGTGCACAATGGGATCCAGCGGACATCCGCGTTCGTTCGTTAGCCAGCAATCCTCACATTCAGCTCAAAGAAACTCGACTCCCCACGTCTGGCGCTTCTGTTTGAATCTCTTTCCTCTCGTTCCTATACGTCAACAACGAATGGAAATCAGGCAAACACATGCTCGTCCGAGGATCGGTCTGACGATTTCGATATCGGGACTCTCAGAGCCACGAAAAAGACCCCGGCAAAGGCCTTCCCCCGTCGCGGACCTTTGACAAATTATTGTTCGGGAGCTCGGACTTCCGGAGCAAAGAACGAATTAGTCTCGCTGCGACGGCCGGCCTCCCGTAATCTCGACCGGGCGCGAAGTTCCCCACGGAGAAGCCTCATAGAAGCGGAATAAGAGCTAGTTAGTGACCTAACGTCCGACCCGGACCGTTTTTTTTGTTTAGAGATAGGCCCGGTTGGGGAGAACACGCGTCATGCATAGAGATTGTGACATTGAGATTCGTGACAGAAGTTTTCGACGGAGGCGGTCGATTTCGCCCATCTCATCCTAAGACGTCATCGAGCTCTCCTGTTCGCAACTAAC